GTACTTGGACTTGCTCCCCACACTACCATCACTAGCGTCCTATTGATGGTGTTCAACTCATACTTCAACATGTACCAGCTTGAGTAGACGAACAGTTGTTGTAGATAACAGCAGGCAGTTCTGATAAGCGACTTTGACTTAACAAAAGACGCTCAGCTTCAACACCACTTCTCGCTGAGCCACATCTACATGACTGACTGCAACCACATGATGCTGGTAAACCTTACTGTCGCACTCGACTGCATTGCGTGGGCTCGGTTGGGCTTTCAAACCACGACCCACTACATCCCATCTGCAGGAGAATGGTAAGCTATTAGTATTAACTTAATATGGGTCATAAAATCCGTAATGTTATTAGTTGCGCGCCACTGCTAGCGCGTCTGCCATTTGGTTCAGATACTTCCTAATCGTCTTGAAAGCTAGACTGTATCCACTCATTGCCATATAGTCTCGAAACAACTTGTTTGCGAAAATCTTGTTCTCAGGTCGGTTCTCCAGACCCAGCATTTTTAAAACGTACTCTTCTGGTCGTTTCTTTTCGATTCAAATGCTCATTTTCGTGTGCATCTCGTTTTTGCCACCTTTGGTAACGATCACAAGACGCTCACCCTTCTGGAGACTCTCGAACAAGTGATTGTCATACCTCGACGCGTATCGAATGTACATTTCGTAGGCGCTGTTTTTCAGGAGTTCGTCCAAAGGCACTTTTTCTAACTCGAGTTACTTCCAGACAAAATGCGTAGATCTCCAAAAGACCCCATCCTTTTTTCCAGTCTCGCGCATAAACCACTCGATGTACGCTTTTAGCGCATTTCCCTGCAGCCCTTTTAGCCTTCTTGACGTAGTCATTTGACTTCCCAATCTTGGTCCAAAACTTCTCTTGCATCGATGTGACGAGGGAGGATACGCCTCTTTCCTCCGCTCCGGGGGTGTCCGTAGAGGCTCTTCGTAGCAGTCTTTTAGGATTGACACCATAATGAGTTGCAATCTTGGTCTTGAGGGCACCGCTGTTGTGGACTCCGTCGCTGCAGCAAACAAAACAAGGATGGCTAACAGAATAGTGCGGTATAAGAGTATGATACTTGAGCAGGGGCTTCTCGGATAATTGCAGAGTGAGCTAAAGCGGTGGACGCCCCTGAAGATTGAAATCAAGGATGCGTTATTGAGAGAACATGGGGCACCGATTGGGCATGTAGTTTCCCCCTTTTTCCGAACTGGCTCATTGGTTTTATAACCGTGTTTGGTGATTCAAAGACCACATCGTTCTACTGGTGGAAGCTGCTTCTGAAATATGTTATTGTTGTCGTGTAGCACTAGAGTCGTAAAAAGCCTCAACCAGTAGAGCGATGTGTTCTTTGGTTAGGTAAATAAAACGCGGTACGTGCGAATATACTAAAGAACGTACGACGCATATTTATCTGTATTCGATGTCCATTATTTTTTTTCGCACCACGAGTACAGATAGTCCACGTACTGGTATTTATAGTTGTAGGAAATGATAGAAATACATTTCTTGTCTGCAAGTGTTGAACTTTGAGCAGCTGATAATGCCACGGTAAACCTTACATGTACTGATACGTAACGATGAATATTGAGTTCACACTGTACGGATGGTGCCGAGCGCTGATTTTTTTTACGAGCAGATAATGCTACGGTGAGCCATGCGAAACAGTATCACTCTCTCTCCAAAGGCATATGCTATTTCGAATGTGAATATCGTATCACCCACCTAAGGTCACTCGTTCCCCGTGATTTACGGTAAGTTCAGAGCTATTAAACCCACGTAAAGCATCGAACGCCAAGCGATGTGGGGAAATATGTCTTCGCAGACTCCATGATTGGCGAAAAGGATGTGGTCGATTTAGTACCGAAAAATGCGTAGCGATAAAGACCCTATAATTCCTGCATTGGCAATGACCACATTATAAGTTATGCTGTTTTTGTGTAAGTTTTAAAGTAGCGCTAAGCCGTGTTGGACAACAGTAGACACTACGAGAATTGCACAACATACAAAACCCTTTAGGTAGTACTACTATATGGCCGTGGCGGTACAGTAATATGTACTACTACCACATCA